TGGATCTTTCGGCCCCCGCCGCCCTTGCGATATGTTTCGCTCGGCGCGGAGCTTTTGCTCCTTATCGCGCGCGGCTTGGTCAGGCAGCTCTTCTGCGAGACAGACTCGGGCGCGTGGGCTCCGGCGGATCAGTGCATCGCGGTGGTCGGCAGGTGATTTCTTTGCCGCCGCGTGAGGCTGACCGGGTGGAATTTCACCTTGCTGCTCTCAGCGCGCGCAGCTAAATGGGTTCGGCGCTCGGCGAGCAGGTCCGCGACGCGACTGAGCAGTGTGCCGCGGTGCGTGGGCGAGCAGGGCGCGCGAGACTTCGCTGATCCCGATAGCGACGTGTCTTCGCTGTTAGGCCTGCCGCGCTGTTTCGCCGCGGGCGTTGCCGCGGGGGGGGGGGTGGCTGCGCTCGCCGGGCGGGCCCCGCGGAGGGGGTGGGGCCCGGTGCTGGCCCTGTGTCCGTATGGCAGGCGCTGGGCGTCGAGGGCGCAAGTGGCGGCGCGGACGCGGAGTCCGACGCTTGGGGTCGCGCGGGTGGCGAGGGCGGAGAGGGCAGTGCTGGTGGGCTTCGTGCATTCAGGCTTTCTGGCGATGGCGATGCTGCCGACGGGGGCGGGGCGGTTGCCCTTGCGGTTCGCCCTCAGGGCGCGGGTGAAATCCGATTGGTTGGTGGCTGCTCTTGGATGATGTTCCCACAGGGGGGTGCGTCCCCTGGCCGCGGCGCAGCAGTTGGTGCGGCCGCGCGGGGCGCGTTGATGTGGTGCGGTATCGCCCATGCCATGGCAGCGCGAACCCAGTGGGCAGTTGTGTCTCTGGTGCATCCTGGACGTCCAGTGTCTTGACCGCGTGGTGCTCGGCTTGCTGGGCGACGACGGCGTCGGGGGCGTGCGGTCGGCAGAGAACCAGGTCGCGCCGCCTCTCTCGGATGTCGGTGCAGGTGGGGGTGTTGCTGCCGTGTCCGTGCAGGCGACTGTCGGCGGTGACGAGGGCAACGGACTGGGCGCGATGTCGGCAGATTCAGGGGCTTCGGAGGCGACGCAGGGCGTGGGCGGCGTGGGCGAGGGGTCGGTGCGTTCGGACGTGGTCGGAGCTAATCGAGTGCTCGTCGGGCGCCTGGTCGGCGGGGCACCGACCGCGATGGGCGCTCCCGACGCGGGCGTGGACGTGCTGGATTTGGTAGGTGACGATGAGGTGTGTTGCGATGCGGCAGGTTCGTTCGCTGGACGCGCGCTGCCTCCGCGACGTGACGATGCCCCGACGGGGGTCCAGGCGCCTGGCGGCCCTGTGCCTGACGCGGCCCCGTCGCCACCGGCCGCCGCCGCCGCTGCGCCGTCTGCCAGCGCGAGCGAGATTTGTGTTCCTGGTAGCCCTCGCCGGGACCTGCTGCGCATGCTTGAATATGTGTTCGCGGATGCCATCGACGTGGCAGATCATCAAACGCATTGCGCGACTCGAGGGGGGCAGGTCGTGGGAGAGCTGGGCGCGCTGGGCGCACGGAGCAGAAGACTGGAGTTCCTCCGGCTCCAGGAAAGGGCAGGGTGCGGGGGAGAGGAGTCGGGGGCCGAGGCAGACGACGACAGACCCTTGCGCGCGGCCGCTCGTCGGAGCGGCTGGGGCAGGGTGCTCGACTCTGCTGGGCGACTTGTCATCGAGCGCGCGACGAGCTCGCGCGGGGCTTCTCTGAAGAGAAGTTGCCTGAGATGGTGCTCCGGGTGAAGTATGGGCACGTGTGCTAGTGCTCCCATGACACCTGGGCGGTGTTCCGCCAGGGGATTTGGGCGCTGGCGGCTGGCTCGCCAGGCGAGCGCTGCAGCGCGGCAGGGTCGCGACGACACCTGGGGCGGCCCGCGAGGCGTTGAGGTGCAGGTGGGGCCGCCGGGGCGCCAGGGGGATTTCGACGGCGACGGGGGGGGGCGGCGTGGTGGGCGCCCCGGGCGAGGGGCGCGCCGCCCCGCGCCCCGCGGTCGTGCAAGGCGTGGTCGGCCGCCGGCTTGGGGGGCTCGCATGCGCAGCAGCAGCGGGCAATGGGGGCAGGACTTGAAGACGAGCTGGGTGCATCGTGAGGACAGAAAGCGCCTGGCGTCCATGGGCGTGTACCTTTATGCCGTGTGCGTGTGCACTTCGCAGGGGAAACCGATCATGGTGGATGCAGAGGACTTCGTGACGTGCGCTTTTGTGGACGTGCACCAGGCTGCCGCCGCCCGCGTGCAGAGGCTGCGCTCTGTGCGCCGTTCAAGTTGCCTAAGCTGTTCGGCTTTGCGATGCCATCGGGGAGAAAGGATTCCGAGCGCAATGCTCTCTTCGAGTCAGTCGGGTTCTAGTCGTTTCGGCTGGCTGGCAAAGGAGCTGCGCGCCGGGCGCGCGGCGGGGCTGGCGGTTGAGGCATGTCGGACAGCGTGGTCGCAAGCCCTACCGCGCCTGGTCGCTTGCCCGTTTCCTGTTATTGGATTTCTTTGGGCGTCTGGATTTCCGGGTGCCCGATCGTTGCGTGGCTGCGCGCCGCTCCATATGTGCACTTGGGTGGACTCGCAGCCAGCGGCATGTGTCTGGCAACTTGTTGGGATTGTTGGATCGCCCGCTGTGTGGTCCTTGCTTGCGTGGCTCTGATGTGGCTGATTGCTGCGAGTGGATTCGCCACTTCTCTTTTCCTGTTCCGATTTTGAATTGGGTTCAAGGCGAGCGAAGCGAGCGATCCGCCGCTATTGTGGTTCACAGCGGCGCGTGGTCATTTTTGCTTGGGCGAGTGTGTTCTCTCGACCGTGTGAGAGAACGTGCGTCGTGCTCTGGCCATGCACTCTGGAACGTCTGTTTTCCCATGTCTGTTCTCGTCATTCCTTGCCCGTGCTGCGTCGCGGCTCGGGCATGAGGTGCGCGGCAGACGATGTGCGGAATATGGCGCGCCGCGCCGCTTTCGCCGCCGCCTTTCAATAAGCAGTGAGGCTTTCGCGTAATTTTATTTCGGGCTCTGTTTTGGTACTGTTGGGCTCTTTTTGTGGCTTTCTTTGGGCCCCCCTGGATCCGTCGCCCCTCCTGCCTGCCCTTCCCCCCGTCCGAATGCGATCCTCTGGGGGCGTGCTGGCGGGCCAGCGGCGTCGCGGGAGTGGTGACCTGGCGCTGGCGGGCGCGGGGGCGTCCGTTCCTTGTCCTTTCTTCCGTCCCTCGTGTCTCGTCCCTCCTCTCGTCCTTCTTCCCTTCGCTGTTTTTTTTCCGCTCGTGCGAGTCACGGGTTTCAGAGGAGGAGAGAGGGGACAGAAGAGGACGAAACTGACGAGGGGTTGTCGTATGGGGGGGAGTCTAGTTCGCTGGGTCGGGCGAGTCGCCCCGCGTATCCCCGCAGTCCCTCCCGCAACAGAAGGGCCATATTTTTTCCGCGATGTGATTTTGGGATTGGACTGCGTTCCCGCGTCGCGAAGGGAAGGCGTTCGTGCGCGGCCCCGCTTCCGACGACGCGGCGAAGGGAAGATTTGGCGGGTCGCGCATGGGCGGGGGCGGCAATCATCCGATGGGCGCGGCGAGGCCGAAACGTGCGCCTCGCTGGCACAGCGCTGCTGCTTCCACTCGTTAGCTGCGCGGCGATTGGGCGATGTCGGCGTTTCGCCCGCTCTCGCGCGGCCCCGTCGCCGCTGTCGCCGTCGTGCGGTTTGCCGAACGAGCCACGCGCCGCGCCCGCGCTGGGGCGCCGCTTCTGAGCGAGATGCGCACGAAGTGTGGGCGAGGGCGAAAGGTCGTCCGCTCGCGCGGGCCACCCACCATTGGCGAGTGAAACTTATTCGCCGCAATTGCCCGCGCGTCGGCGAAATTGCGTGCGAACGTTCCGCGCCGCGTCCAAGCGGGTATTCAATTATTTAGAAAAATGAACGTGGCGTCGAAGCGACATGGACATTTTGGCCTTTCGCACGGGACGTGCGCTGCGCTGCGCCGACGACAAAATGCCCATGCTGATACCAGCGACCTCGTTTTGTGTGGCAAGTCGGATGGGACATCCCGGATCCCGTTGTTATCGGCTGGTTAGGTGGCAGAGCAGGCGTATGCAGCAATGATGAAAAAATGGTTGGATAGAAGGGAACGGTGATAAAAAGGACAACGCAGAGGAAATATACTCATGGGGTTGCGAGGTGGGGTGGATGCATCGGATGAACATGAGGCAGTTGTCCTAGATCAGAGCTGAGGCGCGCGCGAACCGTGCATGTGGTTATAGTTATTTTTAATTTTGTGTCGTATGGGATGTTGTTTTGGGTTGTCTTGGCGCCCGTGGGGCTTTCCAGAGGCATGTTGTGCGTCCCGTGGGCCATCGGGGCGGCCTTGGCTGTCGTGTTGGGCGCCCATTGGGATTCTTCGCGGGTTATCATTGGCCATCTCGGTGTCCGTCTTGGGGCCAATGTCGGACCACGTGAAGTCCCATGAGGTTCATCAGAAACTGAACATGTCAAATGGGCAAAATCTCGTAACCAATCGACGTCGTTTGATTTTTGTTGGCTTCCAGAGGGTGTTTGGCTACAGAGGCTCCCAGCTTCTAGACTGCACGTTCCGGCCCTTCAAGTGTGGGGTCGCTCGGGGCGGGGCTCGGCCAGATCTTCGTCTCTTGTGGCTCATTCTGTTGTCGTTCTCCTCCGTTCTGGGCGTGCCTTTCTTGGAGACAGGAAAAGACAGGAGAGCTGACAAAGGAACGGATGCGCTTGATGAACGCAGAAGGTGCTGGCAGTGTTCTTTGATTTATGCTTGCTGATCCTGCCCATGACGTCCTGTTTTTGCGCATCTCTTGACACGTCAGCTTTCACGGGTATTGCGTGTTGACGATTTATGGGCAGTGATCTATTCGTTTGTCTGTTTTTCTGGTTCGATCGCGAATGAGTGCTGATGAGTGTGCGCTCGAGGTCCAGCATGTCGTATCCATGGTTGACGATTGAGTGCAACCGAATTCCTTGACATGTTTTTTGTTATTTGCTGCTGCTGGCTTTTTGTCAGTCTGTAAACTTTCTTTGCACATCTGCTGCATTTCGGCTGCCCTTTGAGGAGGTGCCGCCCAGGTTGGGAGCCGACTGGTGACTGGTGCTGGTTTGGCCGCGCAATGTTCCGCGCGAGCCAGATCTACCAGCGGCAGACTGCAGCGCCGAAAGGTTCGGGCCAGCAGTGTGGGAGAGTTGCCACGGCGAGCGGGCGGAAGCATGTATTTCTGTCATGCTCGCTTCTTTATGTGCGCGTGCGTTGCTACGACCAAGCAGCTCATGCAACATCGGTTCTTTCTGGGACCTTTCACCCTGCGCTTGTGACACCCCCATGGCTCGACATTGTCCCCACGCCTGCATCGGCCTGCCGTTGCGCCTTCTTTTAGGCATACGCTTCGAGACGCGTTTCAGACTAGTCTTCCCACACCTCTGCGCTGTAGACGTTTTGTGATTCGGGCGATTCGATGGTGCGCACACATATTTGCTCATGTAAGAAGGCTTCGCCCTTTGCCGCTGGCCCCCCTCTGATGGATTCGCTTCTTGAGGTCAGTCGGGTTGGGAACATCTGTGGATATCCTTGGCTTCATCTCGTGGCTTTCCTTTTACTTTTGGGACACGGTAGAACTTGCTTTGGGCTCTCCTGAAGACGCTCTTGGGCTGTCATGGGCATCTTGGGGCCATCTAGGTCCCCCAAACAGTGCTTGCACCCCGGGATTCTTCCTTGTCGTTTCAAGGCATGGGGTGGGTACGTTGAGGATTCGCCACGTTCTGGCCCGTTGCCGCTCGCAGCCGCCCGTAGCCGCGCGCTGGCGCCCGCTGCTGCTTGGGTGGGTGCGTCGACGATTCGCCGCGTTCCGGCCCGTTGCTGCCCGTTGCCACCGGTTGTCGCTTGGGTGGCCGCGTCGAGGATTTACCACGTACTTACCTTACTAGAGAATCGATTGGGTCCGGCGAGGATTTTCCCCGTTGCCGCCCGTGGCCCCCTGTTGCCGCTTCGCTGCCGCCACACCACATGTCTAACACTTCGAACGTGCAGTAACTCTCTGTTTGGGGTCCACGCTGGCAGACACTTTTTGAGTGCCATGTTGGAGATTCTAGAGGCTATCTTGGGACATCGGTGAGAATCCTGGCGTCATCTTCGCGCCGTCGCAAGCCGTCTGAAGGCCGTCGTGTGCATCATCGATTTTCTCAGCACCCGCGTTGCTGCCAGCATTCAGGAAACACTGCCACAGGGTGGTAAATATGTTCTGGGTCCATGGGGGTCGCGGATTCAACAGTAATTGTGGCCTCAGGTGATGAATGCCTAAGACATCATTCTTCCACGGTCGACGATTTGCGCGAGTTCCCATCGCGCAAGACGTGTTAGTCAGTATCTCGCAGGAGCGCGCGCTTGAATACACATGCCGCTTGAACGCTTTCCAGTGGTGGCCCCGCAGGGAGGCCGTCGGACATCACATCACTTCTCTCTTCGATCGAGTGTGGATTTATTTGATTCGATTGTTCGAAGTGGTGGGCAGCTTTGCAGTTTTGACGCATGCGTTGATGACGGCGCCCGTGCACATGGAAAGCTTTGAGCGGTGCCGGCTGTTGGTCCTTGGATCCATGCAGACCCTTTCTTGTCCTGGCCTCGGATGGGCTTGGCCAGCCCGCAGTGCAAGTATCTTCTCGGCGTGATTGCTGTCTCGGGAAGGCGTTGCGGCATCCACTCCTGGCGATTCGGCGGGCGCAGACGCCAGCCCGCCTGCCGCGGCACCTTCGAAGCCGGTCCAGTGGAGAAGCGGCCCCGCCGCCTGGCAGGCGACCGGGCGGGGCGGGAACTGTGCGCAGGGCTGCTGTGGCGGAGGGTGCTGTGGCGTCGAGTGTGTTCCAGTGGTGGCATCATACAGGACACATTGGCACTGATGTCGGGCACACCGCCGTGTACGTTGACGAGCCACTGCAATTCTCCTTTTGCGTATCCCCACCAGCACATCCAGGAGCGATGCCCAGACGAGCTGTCTTGATCAGGACGTGGTAGAAGTATGCAGTGGAACAAGTTTTGGACGGGCCTGATCAAACCCAGGACGAGGACGAGATCGAGGAGGAGGACGAGGAGGAGGAGGATGAGCAGGGCGAAGGAGGAGGAGGAGGAGGATGCGGATGAGGACGAAGACTCTGGCAGCCGTCTTGGGGTTTTCTGTGGGCCCTCTTAAGAGGCTTTTTTTGGGGCTCTGGCGGCCCTCTTGGAACCTTTTTGGGGCTATCTTGGAGGGTCTTGGGATCCTTTTGGGGCGCTATTGGGGGGTGTTTTGGGGGGTGTTTGGGGGTTCCCTAATTCAAGTCCCCTTCAAGAGCGCTCAAACTCGCTTCTTGGGGCCTTTAGGTTGTTGAATATTGTGGCCTCTTGGGGGAAAGTCCTGAGGGTAGCTCGAGGGCACTTGGACGCGTCTCGTGGTCCTCTTGGGGCCTCTTGGAGGCATGTCGGAAGCCATCTTGAACCATCTTCGGCTAGCTTGAGGTTTTTTTTGGGCCGTCCTGGAGCATCGGGGGCTCTTCTAGCGGCGTCTCGGGCGAAAAGGGACCTCTTGGCACATCGCGACCCCCCTAACAAAAAGTCATGGATGGGGGGGGAGGGTAACCGTCCCCGAAGGGCAGAGGAGTCTTGGAAGAGGAAGGAGGAATAACCTCGTTGGACCACCTACGCGCAGAGGGCTGGTGATTAGGGTTCGCGTTGGGCGGCGACCGACTGGTTGGCATTCGCCTCGCTCTTGTAGTGTGCGTGTATTGGTGACGCGATGCTGTATATTCTATGCGGCGCCGCTGCCTGTCGGTGAATACCTGGCTGCCTGCAACAAGCCCCGCCACCGTGCCAGCGCAGTAGCACAGCAATAAGGGTCTTGAGTTTAAGACTCGCTTGCCAGCAGTGTCCTGTCTGGGCTGACGCGGGTCTTAACTGCCCCCCCCTCTTTGTCTGCAGCTTCACTCTCCTTCTCCTTCCCTTTTCTTTCCCTCTTCGTGTGCGGTTTCGTCTGGCTGTCGAGCCGATCTGCCCACGTGCATTTCGCGCCTCGACTGCTGCACCTCGTCAGAAGAACGCCAATCCGATTCCATCGCGACTCGCTGTTTCGAGCCGTAGTCTGGAGCCAGCCGCGCGTGGGAGGAACACCGTGTGCGTGCACGTTGCGTTCCCCCCGAGTGCCCTGTAAACCGCTCCCACCTGTCGACGCGCAGCTGCGTCGCACCGCGTGCGCACCCGTGGGCACGCCCTCGGCTGCAGACAGTGTGAATGCGCGCCTTGCTATGTATGCTGACGGGGTTTTCGTCCGTCGTAGCACCTTCGCAACTCTCCTGCTGGCCGGTCTTGATACCGACGCGCCGCCGTAAGTTTTTAGCGCGTTCTTGCGTCGGTTGGCTTTGCAGGGTCCCGCCAGGAGCCCAGTGGGCCAAATTCTGTTGCGGGCTCGCCCATTTTAGGGAGTCCCTCTGGGCCGCGCGTCGTCGCGGTAAGCTTTTTGCCTAGCCGATGCCATGCTGAACCCGTGGGCGCATACCTAGGGGCTAGCCTGTTGTTCATCGTCCGTTCGCGATTGTCAAGTGGGTTGATGGAATGCAGCGGCGGGTGCTCCTCTGATTCGCGCTGTTACAAGCAGCGTTGCGGTGGTGGGTGGACGGGTGGGGGGGTGGGGGGCCGGAGCTAGCTTGTGTGCTCGACAAGGAAACGAGTTCCACCTGAAAGCGACGCTCAGGGCCGCCCCGAACCCTCCTGGTCAAATATGGGCCGTTGCCGGAGAGCGAAGGGCAAGCCTGTTCCGATCGAAGGTGCGCCTGGCAGTGCCGGCCAGCATTGATGGGATCGTTTGGTTCTCAAACGGAGAGAGGGCCATCCCCACAAAAAGTTGCCCAGGGCGGAGTGAGATGCGCTGAGACGAAACTTCATGTGGAGGGCCAAAACAGTTGGAATACGAAACTAACAGAGCTAGGATGCATGGGACCCGATTGCCGTGGCTGTGCAGTGCGCCAACGGCTAACCACCATCAGGCACGGCCGCAATGCCATCCCTCTTTTGCGTCCCTTCTTCCTCGCACTGGCCTTCGTCCTTTCGGTGAAAACGCATTGTGCAATCATCTTGCTGTGCGTGCGCATCGGGGAAGTCGGACAGGAAACACAGAGGCGGGTCGTCGCCTTGGCGCGACGCAGCGCTGCCCGCAGCGCGTTTCCCGCGGAAGCTGGGCAGGTAAGCCATCTGGACATGGCCCGTTGAAAAATGAGAGGCGCAAGCTTCCATCCGTCGGGGCTGCACGGTCTTCCGGCCTGTATTTTTTGGGGGGGGGGTGGGGATGGTATGCTCTCAGCCTAGCGCAGCGCTGCGCAGCCGTGTGCGCGATTTGTATCGCCGACTTCAGCTCCTGTCCCGCGAGCCCGTCCCTCCCACAATATCCAACGTTTTCAGACGTGGTGGGTCGTCTTTTGTCCTGAGATGCGGCACCGTCTGCGGTTGGTCCAGGCGTATCGGCGCAATCTGCAGAAAGGGTCGGCGAGAGCGCGTTTGTGCGTCATTTCTCTGGGTGCACTTTGGCGCGAACTCGAAAGTTTGCTGGATCGCGGCGCAGTGCTTGCTTTTTTGCACGCCTCGTCTGATGTGTGCGCGTCACGAGCTGGCGTTTGCCCTGTGTTTTAGATCTCGTGGCCTGCCCCCTCTCCCCTGGCCTACCCCTGGCCCTCGTCCCAGCCCTTCTTAGCCCCTCTGGCCCCAGAGCTTTCTAGTCAAGAGGGTTGCGCCATTCCGACGACTCCCAGACGAGGCGTGGATTCTACGGTTGAGGCGTCGTGGGTTTCTTAGGCACTATGTGAGGATTCTTGTGGGCGTCTTGAGAGCTGTTTGCGATCCTGGCGGGGCCTCTTGTAGGCAGTTTCGAAGCGTGTTGGCGGCCGCCTTGTGGCCGCTTTTGGGCCTCTTGAGGGCCTCTTGGGGCCAATTGTTTTTTTTGGGGGGCCGCTTGGGGGCTTCTTGGGGCCTTTAGGGGGCAGGTCGGATTTTCGGTTCGTGTTTTTCATCTTCGCCTCTCTTGGGACCCTCTTCGGGCAATCTTTGGCCGTCTTTGGTTCCTCTTCGGGCCGCCTTGATATTCTTTTGGGCCGCCCTGGGGCCCTCGTAGGGGCCTTTTGGGCAGCTTTGGGGTGGTTGACGGGGCATCTTGTTCCGTCTTGGAGGGTTGGAAGCTCGAGAAGACGATAACTCCAGGAACAATGAAAAGCCCTACATAATCGCTCGATTTTCGCCTTTCAGGGCCCTCTTGGGAAGGCCTCGTGGGGTGTCTCGAAGGCGTCTTTGGACGTTTTCGAGCCATCGTAGGCGTCTTGGGCAAGTCGCTCCGCGATTCGGGATCGTCTTTGAGGCCACTGATGGCAGATTTGGACGCTCCAGGAGTCTCCGAGGGTGCGCCGGGGAGCCCGGACAACCCCTCCTCCCCTTCCCCCTGCCCTTGCTTTTTCCCGATTTTGGGCCTGGGGGAGGGGGAAGGGGGAGGGGGAACCGCCAATCATCGCACACGCCTTCTCGCCCTGGGCAAGCAGGGGTGAGACGAATTTTCGTCGTTCGTTCGTTTGTGGCCTGTCCTCTCCCAAGCCCCTCGCTCCCCTTGGCCACAGAACCCTGGCTCACCTCTGTCTCTGGAGATCTTTGTTTTCGTCGTTCGTTCGCGCTGATGCGTCTTACAGTCGGCTGCCCCATCCTTTCCTAGAGGTTGGCGCGCCTCCAAGGATTTTGGTGCGGCCTTGCTGTAGCAGCCCCCTCGCGCGTACCCGTTGCCTGCAAAGGGAATTGTGCTTCAAAGTCGCTGGGCGACCCTGCCTGCGTGCTTTGTCGCTCAGCGCCCCTCCTTATTGTCATTTGCAGCAAGCGCCCGTGCTGTTGCTGAGGGGCTCGGGAGGAAGGTCAGCGCGGAAAGGCAAGCAGTAATGTCCTACAGAACGCCAGGAGTAACACCGGAGACTCGGGACATTTGGAGCACGGCACATGCAGGGGTCGTCGTCGGAATAAACAGACACAGACAACAATACAAGGAGACAGGATTGGGAGGAGAGCATGGGGTTCGATGATTTTTTGTTGTAGTTAGTTCGTTCGTTCGTTGGGTAGTGAGTGAATGAGTGAGTGAGTAAGCGAGGGAGTGAACGAGTGAGTGAATGAGTGAGTGGGTGAGTGAATTAGTTCGGCAGTTAGTTAGGTAGGAAGGTAGGTAGTTAGATACTTTGTTAATTAGTTATTTGGTTAGTTGGTTGCGAGCTAGCTAGCTAGCTAGCTAGCTAGATAGTTAGCTAGTTAGCTAGTTAGCTAGTTATTCAGTCAGTCAGTCAGTCAGTCAGTCAGTCAGTCAGTCAGTCAGTCAGTCAGTTAGTTAGTTAGTTAGTTAGTTCGGTAGACAGGTAGGCAGGTCGGTAGTTCGTTCGTTCGTTCGTTCGTTCGTTCGTTCGTTTGTTCCCCAAGCAGAGCTTGGCTCTGTAGGGGTCCTGGCGGGTCCTGGTAGATGAGGTTCGTCGCCGATTTCGGTGGCCGGCCTGTGCCCGGATGCCGAGGTGCCAGGGTGCCCTGGTGCCCGGGGGTGCCCGGGTGCCCGGGTGTCCGGGTGCCCGGGAGTGCCCAGAGGTGCCCGGTAGCCCTACAGCCGTATAGCCGTATAGCGTTATAGCCCAATAGCTTTATAGCCCTACGGCCCTATAGCCCTAATAGCCCTAATAGCCCTACACCCCATATAGCCCAATAGCCCTATAACCCTATAGCCCCATAGCCGTATAGTCCCATGGCCCTATAGCCCGATAGC